TTATAAATTGTGCATTTTTTGCTTTAAAAATGATTGAATTATGTGGTTCTTATCTTCCGATTAAGGTTTTATGCCTTTAGTAAATCTGCAAACTATATTTGTACAATTATCAACAATTGAAAAGCTGTTTAAGTTCAGTTAAGCCTTAAGTTTAAAATAACATGGCGAACATATTTCTTTACATTTGAAACAGCATAATAGTAGATTTGTTGCCAATCTAGAGAGACTAAGCTTCTCAACAACAAAGATAACGTCTTCATTTATTATTTGCGAATCAATTCATGCTTAATCCATTCTGGAATTTAGTCGAGCAAATAAGATAAGATTTACTTGGTAATTTTTAATACAGATATTTTGTGTTTTTATGTATTTTTGCCTTGTCGCGAAGTGAATTAATTGAATGAGAAATACTAAATCGTTATTGAAAAACTGTTTCTTTTTTGTTTTGTTTGCTTAATTTCTTTTATACATCGTTCTAGATATATTAGAGTATTTGAATAGAACATGTGGCAACGATTAGATAATTCTTCAAATAATATAAATTTTGAGTATTCTGAGTTAAGAAAATAGTGGAAACGATTAGATAATTCTTAAGATGATATAAATTTTGTGCATTCTGAGTTAAAAAATCAGAAAAAAATGAGATTCTGAGTTATAAAGTGAAGGCTGATGATTCTGAGTTAAAAAATGAGATGTGCTCTTGCGACGACGACTACTCTTCTAGATTTTTGGTAAATATCATTTTTGCTTGTTCTCCTCGATATGGCCAGTAATAGCGAACCACCTGATAGGGGCAAAATTCCTTGGCATGCCATTTTCAGCGATTATGATAGCGATAATGATTCGACTTATTCGAATTATTCAAGAAAATCGACTACATCCAAAGAGATGCCCGTACAATGTACCAAATGCAGAGTATGCACTGTATGTAAATAATTCAATGAGAATCTCTAATGAAGTAATGTATGCTCCTAATGTAGGGTATTCGTCGAATGTATCGTATGTCTCTAATGTAACCATGAATCCTTACAGAATTGTATAACTGTAATCGCACAAGATCGAAATGCATAAATTCGTACAATGTACCAAATGTAGTGCATGCATCGTAACATATGTAAATAATGTAATGCAAGTCTCTAATGAAGTAATGTATGTTCTTAATGTATTTATCCAATGTATTGTATGTCTCTAATGTAACCATGAATCCCTCCAGAATTGTATAACTGTAATTATCCCAGATCGAAATGTAAAACATCCGTACAATGCACCAATGTAGTGTATGCAACGAAACATGTAAATCATGCAACAGACGCCTCTAATGAAAGTATGTACATTATGTACTGAGCATATTTCCGCATAGCTGTTCTGCTTTACGCACACTTTACTATGTCTCATATGTTTCTTCTGTGTGCAATATTTACATTTATGTGCTCTACGTGTTTCCGTATGTATTCTATGTGTCATGTTATGTATTCTCGTGTGTGTTTTTATATCTTTATGTTACGTAATTATGAGTGTGTTTTTATGCTTTTACGTTTAATTTTGTACATCTATGTGTTTCAGCTTATATGTGTGTTTTAGTGTTTTAATGCTATCCTTTATATTATATTTAAGTTACTTTGTTTTATAAACAACGTCCTATGTAAAATCTACTTGGCATCTAGCCCCTGTATGGCCATGTAAACTCCCGGTGCAGCCTCACGGAGCTCCAGCGAGTTGTTTCTTCGAGATAGCGGAGGACGTGGGACATATGCCTGTTTACCTATATTATACGCCAGGCGTCCCCGTCCTTCGTCACCTGTCACCTGTAATTGCTTTAGATGACACGGCGCTTCAAAGTATAATTGCTACTCTAATTTCTACTAAGAAAAGTAAATCCCAGAGAAAAGAAAAGACATCCGCAGGAAGTCCTAAGAAAATAGCCGATAATACTAAGAAATTCAAACCCTCCCCTTCAAATTTTGAAGCAGTAGTTAACAAACACAGAAACGTTTTTTCTAATTTAACAGAGGCTATCTCGCAAGAATATCTTAATACGCAGCTTCCGACTAACCCAAGAGATCTCTCACTCAAATTAGAAAACGAAATCGCCGATAAATTAAACTGTATTGAGTTTATGAAGCCATTAACCTCCCACCCCCAACGATAGAAATGCGTTCAAAGTTATAAGAAGAAATTTAACAAAATCAGTTCATTTTAGCAAGCAAGCATTCAGAACACCCCGAAACTCGCAAATTCTAAAACAGATGATAAAACAATAAATCAGAAGGATTGGCAAACTCCAAAGGAAACAGCGCAAAATTCCGAGTCTATCCCACCACCAGATATTCTGCAAAATAATAGATTTGAAACTCTTAACAAAAATAAGGAAGCTATGGAAGTTACAGATGAAACGCAGACGACTACAACCCAGAATAACGCAGAAAATAAAACGAAAATTCCCGCATTAGTCATTCCAGAAAACGATGTTGATTGGCCTGAAATAGACAAAATGCTCAGAGAAATATGTAAAAACGAATTTTTATATCTTTATGTTACGTAATTATGAGTGTGTTTTTATGCATTTACGTTTAATTTTGTACATCTATGTGTTTCAGCTTATATGTGTGTTTTAGTGTTTTAATGCTATCCTTTATATTCTTTTTAAGTTACTTTGTTTTATAAACAACGTCCTATGTAAAATCTACTTGGTATCTAGCCCCTGTATGGCCATGTAAACTCCCGGTGCAGTTAAAGTTACAATCAAATCCAGACAGATTTTCCTTTACACTACCACCGAAGCCGATTATAAATCTACAGTTGATAAATTCCAGAAAGCACAGATTACTTTTCATACGTACGAAATTTCCTCAGCCTCTTCAATTAAATTTATACTTAAGAATATCCCAAGATCCTACACAGAGCAAGCAATTCACGCAGATTTAGAACTCAGAAGCTTCCCTATAACTAAAGTAAAGCAATTCACGAAGAAAGTAGAAGACCAAATTATTCGTTTACCCTATATTTTTTCTTGAACTGAAAAGAAATTCTGCAGGAGAGAAAATTCATGAATTAAACAATATGTTCAGATCCAATATCAGAATAGAAAATATCAGCCCAGAAAACGCCCAATTCAATGTTTCAACTGCCAGGAGTTCGTGCACTTCCAAAATAACTGCTTTAAAAAGATCAGGTGCTGTAAGTGCGGACAAAATCACAGATCCAACACCTGTAAATTAAATCCAGATGAAAAACAAACTTGCATTTACTGTCACGAAAATCACGTTTCTTCTTATCGTGGTTGTAAGGTATACGGAAAAAGATTCAATTATTTAGAATAGAAAAACCACTAAAGATGACTTCCCCGAATTCATTCAAGCTTCAGGCCGAACTAATCAAGAAATGCCTAAAAACCTTTACAGTGACAAAGTTAAGCAGAAAACCCGGAGGAAAATTTAGCAGAAATCATTAACATTTTCAAAGATCAGAAAACCCTTTATCTCATGAAGTCAATAACCACAATAGCTCAGAGAATTAAATCAAAATCAAATATGCAGAAACTTTGTCTAGCTTTTCAGGCCATTGAGATTATTTTGAACTTTGCAGATCAAGATTAATTCGCAGCTTCTCTTAAGACAAGCATAGCCGAGAGGCAGAAATCCTCAAGCTGCAGATCTTCACATCATGGGGCCACGTTAAACTCTACACTAGGTGAAAAGAGTACGTTTCATTTTACTGGATTCAACTCATCATTAAAGGCACCCTATTTATAATATATCGGTAAAGATCGCACTAGCCCGATTGTCTCTTAATTGTGTTACAACATAGACATAGACATAGTTAAAAAAAAATGATTGAAATGTAGCGCTGTTAAGTGAATATACGGCCAGGTAACAGGTGTCGCTATGGTAAACAAATATAGTGAATTTTAAAGAGTGTATTTATTCTATTGTGGTTTATGTGCTATCAACGAAGTAGATTTAATTCAATCCAATAAGTTCAAATGAAATGCAAGAAAAAATGCTTATAATATAATATTCCGTACAAGGAAGTCATGTGGTGTACACATCAGATTTTTTTAAATGTAAACAAGCAATGGCTGACATGGCAAAAATTATTACGCTTAGCAGCACTTAAACAATTTTAAATTGTTAATAATTCTAAAAATATTGCTTACAGATTTACTAAAGGCATAAAATCCTTAACCGGAAGATAAGAACAGCATAAGTCAATCATTTAAAAAAAATGCACAATTTAGAAGCATATAAGAATAAAGAAACTGAGATCACTGAGCCGAGTAACAGAGTGGATATATATATACATATACTTATATACTTATGGTGCGGCCGATTGCAACCAAAATACGAGGTGCACATCTACATGTTTTAGCAGTCCTACATACAAAATGTCAAGGTTCTGAGGCTACTCGTTTTTGAGTTATGCGAGATACATACGTATGCACGTACGCACAGACGCCACGAAAAATTCACTTCAGAATTCATTTTAAATTAGTTTTACACTTTTTTTGGGGGGAAAGAGTCCTTTATTCTGTCCTTACGAACAGCTGTCAAGCAAAAACATCATTAAATTGCGTTCGATAGCGGGGAAAATGAATATTTGCTTTGAAATATGATGCCTGAAATTTTTCGCGATTATAGTACTTCCTTTTTACTTCGTATAAGGAAGTAAAAAGATTAATTTATTAATGATATTTCTTAATTAGTGAAAAGAGACCTAAGGAAACGTCTTAGAGTTAAGTATTTAGGACAACTGCGAGACGTGCATAAGGTAAAAAAGGAAAAAGGAAGAGGTTATAATTTTGTTCGGAAGTGATCATACGAAAAGTCTGAACTGGAATTTAGGGCGCATAGTGAAACTCTATCCTGGAAAGGTCCATCGCGTTAGAGTAGCTCTTGTGAAAACAGCATATGGTTCCTTTTTGCGTCTTGTGAGGAAATTGTTCCCATTGGAAGTGCAGGAAAAAAAATCTTTTTGTCCTACTAACTTTTCTTCTTTTTCAGATTCTTATGGACTGCATTTAACAGTTAATTTAGACCCAGGCACAGTTTGACAACGAAAGGCGAGAAGTATTTCATACCAATCTTGCTCCAATAACAATGGCAGTGAAGCTGTGCTGCAGAGGACAGTTCAGACTTTCAGACTGTCACCTGATGATCCAACTCCTACTCGAACATGAAAGCCTTATCATTCACATTATGGCAGACTTATTAAACCAACAAAAGTGAATTTTTAAATGTTGTTTGAATTTTAACATTAAATTGTTTAAAACTCAAAATGGCGAGTGCCAAAAATGGCCCCCAAAGAAAAAAAAATACAAACAAGAAAAATAAACATTTCTCTTTATTATCACTGGCAACAGTAGTTCCGTTTGAAAAAAAAAAAAAAAAAGACAATTTTGATGTTGGTTCTAATTATTTTAGTACCGTCTGCGTGTAGATATCTAGTGTTTTTGTATCTACGTTTATTTTCGTGTTCGGCATGTAAAAATTATGAGAAATAAAAGTGTTTTCTGCTATAAATTAGGCTTCAAGTATAGCTTGATATTTTTTTACCTTTTAAGCTCGTCCCAGATTTGGAACCTTTGGAAGAAAAAAGGGTAAGTGAAAACTTATTTCTAAATTTAGAATTTTGAACTGAAAATTTTTGTAATAGTTTCTCAATACCAACTGTACTTTATTTCACTAAGCTCTGCTAAGACTATATTTCGGCGTTAGCCATTTTGCTAACAGAAGTCAAATCGCGTCGCAATTAGAAATTTGGTCTAATGATTTAGTATATGTACTGCTGAAGCAAAACCAGTTATATTGTAATCACAATGGCTACGAATCCATTTAAATTTGAATTCAAGTTTCTGTTGTTTAAACCCTACTAGTGGCGGACTTTTACTTTGCAAGTGCAAATTGGGCATTTACTAAATTTGGCTTTAATAAAAGTGTTATGTAATAACCTTTTTCGGACTTTGCACTATTTTCATGGCAGGAACGATACCTAGTTTGTCAATTATGGATGTTATGTCAAGTCAGTTAAACTAAGTATGTCAGTATTCTCAAGTCATATTAAATATGTCTGTCAGTTATGTTAAGTATGATTAAGGATTTTTAAATTAGAATTACACAGTATACAGGCGTACAGTCCTTGTTAAATTTGTATCGAATTGGCGAGACCTTGTTTTGTCGACCTGAACAAAAAATAAATACTAAAGCTGAACATATAGATGATTATATAATTAATGGTTCAAATTTATATTGATTTTCCGAAAATTATTTGAAAAATAATTTAACTGTATTTTTTCTGATGGAACTAGTGTAATGTTATTGAAGAAAGTCCAGTGTTGCATGCAACTTCTAAAAAAAAATCCTAACATGAATTATTCATTGTTTTAAAATAACACTAGAAGTTTCGATCAGAAGAGACAACGTTATATAGAAAAACGTTAACATGAACAATTTGGAAATATTTCTTGATAAATTATGTATCTTTTATCACCAATCCTTTATCAACAATTTTTTCTACGTAAAAGAACTGTCCAGCGATTTACAAGCTTAGAACAATAACTGTAAGTGGTTTCTAAACCGACTATGAATTTTCAAACCGACTCAAAACTCATGAATTTGGAATTTTGAAAATTGTGATTGGTATCCTACAAGAATTATCATATCAAATATTTAATTTTTAACCAGTTTTCTTAATTTTAATCTTTGCTTTTTTGTTTATGTATAATTGTTTGTATTTTCTGTTTTTGTAAAAAGTTATACTTGGATATTAGGTTTTTATACGATGAGTCTTTCTTTTTTAATTTTCATGTAGCTCATATAATTGACTGCACCATAGATCTTACAAAACGCTACTATGGATATTAGTTAGAATTTGCGGGGAAAAGGAATGTATCTATTGATCTGTTTTGACCTAACTCCAATTACACTAACTTTGCTGTTACTAGATTATGTTATATACTGAAACCAGAAATACCATCCTTAAAATATTTTCAAATTTTCCGCATAATTTACTTCTGGAAAATAGTTATGGTGAAATAAATCATTTCTCCTTGCTCCTGGGGAATTCAGTGAAGCTGAAATGAAAAGCAAGAGGCTCAACTATCTGAATAGATAGAAGAAGAAGTTATTGAAATAAACCTATCTGAAGCTTCGTCGTAAATTTAACAATAACAGTTCAAGTAATTCTCAATTTGCTACATATATCTAAATTAACAGGTATTTACTCTAACCATTAAAAATATTATCTTATTTTAGAAAGATCACTAGGTTTGGGATAAATTTACCAATTGCTTTACACGCTCTATTTATTGCCAGACCACAAAATTACCTTTGAACTGTTAATATAAGAACTTATTGGAAATGGACTTTCCGAGTTTTATAGTTGTTTCAAAACCGTGACATTACGACCTAAATCGAACACAGTTCAACACCGCATTAGCAGGCCCAAATTCGAAATTAATACATTTTTATCAGTTGATAATTCTAATCCTTTCGTAAGACTAATTTAAAAAGAATTTCTTTCACAAAAAGATACATGTAAAATGTGATGGAATGTAATGTAGTAGTGAGTATATAACTGATACTTATCAAAAGTCGGATACATTTATATGCAACGAGATAACTGTGCCAGTAATCAGTTTGTTTAACATGGTTATTACATTAAAAAAATCGTATAAGTTTCCATGTATTTTTCTGAGGTATTCAAATCTGCTGTCCTATTTTGTTTGCTAAATTTTAATGTACTTTAGTTTCAATTCGTATTTAAAGAACTAAAGAAAAGCGTTGGCCAAAAGACAGTCTTCCAGTTTTTTAATGAAACGCCCAAAGTTAAATATATGTTTCATAACTTAAATAACTGATCTCAGTTCATTTCTGCGCAAAATCTATGAAATCTTAGATTTGGACATGACAACGGATGACCTACTTTTAATAGCTGCAAAAGGTTTTCTTCGAAAGGGTTTAATTTCATTCCCTCATACCTTAATTAACTGCATAAAATGGCAGAGTTAAAGAATTATTGTAAATTTAAAAATATCTTGTATAGATTCCAAATGAGTTTCAACATTTTGTGAAGACTGGCGCTTTTGTCGCATCTAAAAAACTAAGGAAGAAAAATTGCTAAAAGTTACTTATCTAAACCTGGATTATAAAATATTAAACTTTTTTTCTTTTCGGATGCATATTATTTTTTTCATATCATTAAAATAAAAAATCTGATGTGAACACATCATGAATTCCTTGTACGCCCTATTAAATTATACTCATTTTTCTGCACTTTCTCGTTAGAGATATATTTCTCTTTCAATCAATTCAATTCTTACTTAGCGATAAGACAAAAATACATAAAATCTCAAATCAGTTTCACTAAAAATTGTAAAATACACAAAAAACTAAAAAAAAAAAAAAAAAAAAAAAATTAAATACAGTTAAAAACTAAAAAATGTTCATAATTAATATTAGAATTTCTGTGCACGAAACTTAAAATTAATTTTGATCTCACTAGGCAGAAAGACACTGAAGTTGACGACCCAACTGATTTAATTCACTATTCTACAAAAGTAAGCAAATGCCGGTCTCGTTAGGCTTAACTCGCTACTTAAACTTTCAAATTGTTGAAAATTCTACAACTTTTGCATAAAGATTAACTAAAGGCCCCAAAACTTTAACCAGAACATAAGAACAACATAATTCAATCACTTTTTAAGAAAAAGTTTATGCAGCCTGGAACAACAATTATTGCAGATTCATATTGTGAAACTTTGCAACGATTACGGAGAGCTATTCAAAACAAACGAAGAGGCATGCTGACTTCTGGAATTGTTCTGATCCATGACAATGCCCGTCCTCACAGCGCTCGTGTAACGCAACGGTTCCTTCAGCAATTTCAATGGGACACTTTCGAACATCCACCATATAGTCCTGACCTAGCGCCGAGTGACTTTCATCTGTTCCCTGAATTAAAGCAGTAGCTTGGCGGGAAGCGCTTCCAAAATGACGTGGAGCTGAAAGAAACCGTCCAACTCATTCTCATGCGGGCATTTTAAGAGGATGCACTTTCCAGATGACAAATGCTATCTCAAGGATCGAGTAATACTGTTTGACATTTTTGTAAAGATCTTTTTGATTTCCCCGTCTTTCTTTAGCCTCGAGGTGAAAAAAATGAAACGTTGAAGAATAATCTCATAAAATTTTGAGTATGAAATCCAAAATTAAGAATAGGTTAAGAAAATGTAAAGCAGATACCGAAGTTAACGTAGTTCAAAATGTACCTGTAACTCCTGTAATCGAAAGTAAATTTGTTGCGGCAGTTAAGTTGCCGAAATTAAATATTGAAAAATTCTCTGGTGATCCCAGCACTTATTTAGAATTTATTAACTGTTTCAAGAATGCTGTGGATAACAATGACTCTTTGTCAAAAATAAGTAAATTTCAATACCTGAAATCTCTTTTGACAGGTACTGCATATAATGTTGTATCAGGGTTTGATCTCACTGATGAAAATTATGATGAATGCCTAAAATTGTTAAACGAAAGATATGGTAGGCGTGATACAATCATAAACTGTCATATAAATAAAATTTTGAACTTAGAGCCAGTAAAATCATCAAATAATATAAGGGGACTTAGAAATCTGTATGTATGATAAATGTGAAATACATATCAGAAATCTCAAGTCAATGGGGGTAACAACAGGTTCATACGGGCATCTACTTTTGCCTATACTGTTAAAATTGTTACCAGAAAACATGGTTCTAGAATTTCATAAGAAAAATAATACAGAAAATGAGTATAAGGTCAATGACCTATTGGAATTTATAAGAGAAGATTTACGTGCCCGTGAGGCCACAATATTAGTAAATAATTCTTCTAGTAATAAAATACATGACACTTACACTAATTTTAATTCCAAACAAAAATATAATCAGAACTTTTCTTCTAAGAAAAGTGTTCCTTCGGCTGCTGCCTTGAACACTTCTATAAAATATTTTGTGTATTTTGTGACTCTTCGGATCATACAAGCTTGGGTTGTAAAAGGTATACAGACCAAGAGAAACGTTTTAAATTGAAGAAGGGAGGACGCTGTTACAAGTTTTTTCTTAAAATCACACCTGTCTTCTAACTGTAAAAGTAAATTAACCCCATGTTCGAAATGTGGTAATAAATTTCACAATGAGCTGTTCTGTAATAAATCAGAAAAACATGAAAGTCCTGAAAATATTAACGCAGATAAATCCACAACCTTAGTATCTTGCGTTTCTGAACAGAAAAATAAAACTATTTCTACATTACTCCAAACTTGTATTGTATGTGTCTCTGGTGGTGAAAACAGAATCCATGCAAGGGTTTTGTGTGATAGTGGTTCAGAAAAATGCTTTATAAAAGAAAATTTAGTAAGAAAACTGAATTTAAAGCCTATTAGAAAAGAAAATTTATTAGTATATTCATTTGGCGGACGAAAACCACAAGAATCATCATTTGACGTAGTTTCTCTTGAATTACAAAATGTTTCGCAAACCAAACAA